ATGTATGTATGTACATATATATATATATAAATTACATACACACATCTCAAAGTGACACAAGTGAGTTCGACATTCTAAACTCCGCTGCGCTCTTTTTCCATCCTCTGCCATGTAAGTTTCGTTTCACCTGCAGTCAGGTGTGCTTTTCTCCAGGAGCATGTGATTTGGCATTGGATAGCGCGGGCCGATACGATTGTGGGGACATCTCTTCTGGCCTGACTTTTCGTTCAGCCCGGCGCCTGTTCACGTGAACAAGAACTCCATTGACGTTCTGGAGAAAGACTATACTTTCATGGGCCAGGGGTGTGGCCGGCCGAACTTCCGATTGTCATTGCTATGAACCCGTCATGGAAAGGCAACGGTACAATGACCAATGAATATGTTGTAAATGCGACGGTTTCTGTTCAAACTGGTCGGGTCGGGGAGGCTGTCTTAGGGTACCAGATCCAGTCAGGCAAATATATCTAGAAGCACTTTGGTCTCTTGCACCGCATCAGCCCAGAAGAGATCGATGCAGCCTACATCAAAGCAGTCGCAAGCCAGATTCGCGAGGGTGCATCTGACGAGATCATTCAGTACCTGGGTGATGTAAGATTGTCGATGTAACAGTGGCAAACATGCATCTGATACACAAATATAAACCATGGACAAGGTGTCAAGGTCACCGCGTGATTTGAAAACTAAAACAGCGGATTTGGAAACTATAACAGCGGATTTGGAAACTATGATTTGGAAACTATGATTTGGAAACTATAACAGCGGATTTGGAAACTGGGAACAGCGGATTTGGAAACTATGATTTGGAAACTATGATTTGGAAACTATGAGGTGTGATTTGGAAACTGGGAACCGCGGATTTGGAAACTATGACTTAGAAACTAAGGCACGTGATTTGGAAACTATAACAGCGGAATTGGAAACTATGATTTGGAAACTATGAGGTGTGATTTGGAAACAAGGAACCGCGGATTTGGAAACTATGATTTGGAAACTAAGGCACGTGATTTGGAAACTATAATCGAAGGAAGTTTAGAAGTGAAACTTCCGACAATATGGACAGTTGAAAAGCAGAGGTGAGAAGAGTCAGAAGAGAAAAGATCAGAAGAAAGAAGATGCAGATGCGCGAAAAGGTAGGAAAGTCGCGATTCACTGTGTTTTTCCAATGATTTGTGGCTCTGGAGGGTCGAAAAGTAGGCTCGCTAAAGCGGCGGGTGCGGAGCCAGCTGGCCAGATGAGAAATGAAAAATTGCACGAACAATTAAGAGTGTGCAAGAACAATTCCACGCAAAACAGTGTGCGGCGACTCTCCGCACCCCAGGGGGAAGTTTTAAAAATGACTTGGAATCGTGACAAGAAGTCTTGGAGAGGGGAGACTGTGAAGTTGAGAATACTCTTGCATGTAAGGTTTGGGGGGGAAGTTTAAAAAATGACTTGGAATCGTGACAAGAAGTCTTGGAGAGGGGAGACTGTGAAGTTGAGAATACTCTTGCATGTAAAGGTTTAGGGGGGGGAAGTTTAAAAAATGACTTGGAATCGTGATAAGAAGTCTTGGAGAGGGGAGACTGTGAAGTTGAGAATACTCTTGCATGTAAGGTTTGGGGGGGGGAAGTTTTAAAAATGACTTTGTATCGTGACAAGAAGTCTTGGGGAGGGGAGACTGTGAAGTTGAGATTACTCTTGCATGTAAAGGTTTAGGGAGGGGAAGTTTAAAAAATAACTTGGAATCGTGACAAGAAGTCTTGGAGAGGGGAGACTGTGAAGTTGAGAATACTCTTGCATGTAAGGTTTAGGGGGGGGGAATTTTAAAAAATGACTTGGAATCGTGACAAGAAGTCTTGGGGAGGGATGACTGTGAAGCTGAGAATACTCTTGCATGTAAGGTTTAGGGGGGGGGAAGTTTTAAAAATGACTTGGAATCGTGACAAGAAGTCTTGGAGAGGGGAGACTGTGAAGCTGAGAATACTCTTGCATGTAAGGTTTAGGGGGGGGAGTTTTAAAAATGACTTGGAATCGTGACAAGAAGTCTTGGAGAGGGGAGACTGTGAAGTTGAGAATACTCTTGCATGTAAAGGTTTAGGGGGGGGAAGTTTAAAAATGACTTGGAATCGTGACAAGAAGTCTTGGAGAGGGGAGACTGTGAAGTTGAGAATACTCTTGCATGTAAGGTTTGGGGGGGGAAGTTTAAAAAATGACTTGGAATCGTGACAAGAAGTCTTGGAGAGGGGAGACTGTGAAGTTGAGAATACTCTTGCATGTAAGGTTTGGGGGGGGAAGTTTAAAAAATGACTTGGAATCGTGACAAGAAGTCTTGGAGAGGGAGACTGTGAAGTTGAGAATACTTTTGCATGTAAGGTTTTAGGGGGGGAAGTTTTAAAAATGACTTCGTATCGTGACAAGAAGTCTTGGGGAGGGGAGACTGTGAAGTTGAGATTACTCTTGCATGTAAAGGTTTAGGGGGGGAAGTTTAAAAAATAACTTGGAATCGTGACAAGAAGTCTTGGAGAGGGGAGACTGTGAAGTTGAGAATACTCTTGCATGTAAGGTTTAGGTGGGGGGAAATTTTAAAAAATGACTTGGAATCGTGACAGAAGTCTTGGGGAGGGAGACTGTGAAGTGAGAATACTCTTGCATGTAAGGTTTAGGGGGGGAAGTTAAAAATGACTTGGAATCGGACAAGAAGTCTTGGAGAGGGGGACTGTGAAGAGAAACTTCTTGCGTGTTGGGGGGGGAAGGTTAAAAATGACTTGGAATCGTGACAAGAAGGAGAGGGAGACTCATGTAAAGGTTTAGAGTGTTGAGACACAAGAAGTCTTGGAGAGGGGAGACTGTGAAGTTGAGAATTCTCTTGCATGTAAGGTTTGGGGGGGGAAGTTTAAAAAATGACTTGGAATCGTGACAAGAAGTCTTGGAGAGTGGAGACTGTGAAGTTGAGAATACTTTTGCATGTAAGGTTTTAGGGGGGGAAGTTTTAAAAATGACTTGGAATCGTGACAAGAAGTCTTGGGGAGGGGAGACTGTGAAGTTGAGATTACTCTTGCATGTAAGGTTTAGGGGGGGGAAGTTTAAAAAATAACTTGGAATCGTGACAAGAAGTCTTGGAGAGGGGAGACTGTGAAGTTGAGAATACTCTTGCATGTAAGGTTTAGGGGGGGGAAGTTTAAAAAATGACTTGGAATCATGACAAGAAGTCTTGGGGAGGGATGACTGTGAAGCTGAGAATACTCTTGCGTGTAAGGTTTAGGGGGGGGAGTTTTAAAAATGACTTGGATTCGTGACAAGAAGTCTTGGAGAGGGGAGACTGTGAAGCTGAGAATACTCTTGCATGTAAGGTTTGGGGGGGGAGTTTTAAAAATGACTTGGAATCGTGACAAGAAGTCTTGGAGAGGGGAGACTGTGAAGTTGAGAATACTCTTGCATGTAAAGGTTTAGGGGGGGAAGTTTAAAAAATGACTTGGAATCGTGACAAGAAGTCTTGGAGAGGGGAGACTGTGAAGTTGAGAATACTCTTGCATGTAAGGTTTGGGGGGGGAAGTTTTAAAAATGACTTGGAATCGTGACAAGAAGTCTTGGGGAGGGGAGACTGTGAAGTTGAGATTACTCTTGCATGTAAGGTTTTAGGGGGGGAAGTTTAAAAAATGACTTCGTATCGTGACAAGAAGTCTTGGGGAGGGGTGACTGTGAAGTTGAGATTACTCTTGCATGTAAAGGTTTAGGGGGGGGAAGTTTAAAAAATGACTTGGAATCGTGACAAGAAGTCTTGGAGAGGGGAGACTGTGAAGTTGAGAATACTCTTGCATGTAAAGGTTTAGGGGGGGGGAAGTTTAAAAAATGACTTGGAATCGTGACAAGAAGTCTTGGGGAGAGATGACTGTGAAGCTGAGAATACTCTTGCATGTAAGGTTTAGGGGGGGGAAGTTTAAAAAAGTACTTGGAATCGTGACAAGAAGTCTTGCAGAGGGGAGACTGTGAAGTTGAGAATACTCTTGCATGTAAAGGTTTAGGGGGGGAATAGTTTCCTAATCGTAGTTTCCTAATCGCGCGGAATAGTTTCCTAATCGTAGTTTCCTAATCGCGCGGAATAGTTTCCTAATCGTAGTTTCCTAATCGCACGCAATAGGTTCCTAATCGTAGTTTCCTAATCGCACGCAATAGGTTCCTAATCGTAGTTTACTGATCGCGCGGAATAGTTTCCTAATCGTAGTTTCCCAATCGCGCCTAATAGATTCCTAATCTTAGTTTCCCAATAGCGCGGACTAGTTTCCTAATCGTAGTTTCCTAATCGCGCGGAATAGTTTCCTAATCGTAGTTTCCTAATCGCACGCAATAGTTTCCTAATCGTAGTTTCTTAATCGCGCGTATTAGTTTCCTAATCGTAGTTTCCCAATCGCGCGGAATAGTTTCCTAATCGTAGTTTCCTAATCGCGCGGAATAGTTTCCTAATCGTAGTTTCCTAATCGCACGCAATAGTTTCCTAATCGTAGTTTCTTAATCGCGCGGAATAGTTTCCTAATCGTAGTTTCCCAATCGCGCGGAATAGTTTCCTAATCGTAGTTTCCCAATCGCGCGGAATAGTTTCCTAATCGTAGTTTCCTAATCGCGCGGAATAGTTTCCTAATCGTAGTTTCCTAATCGCACGCAATAGTTTCCTAATCGTAGTTTCTTATTCGCGCGGAATAGTTTCCTAATCGTAGTTTCCCAATCGCGCGGAATAGTTTCCTAATTGTAGTTTCCCAATCGCGCGGAATAGTTTCCTAAGCGTAGTTTCCTAATCGCGCGGAATAGTTTCCTAATCGTAGTTTCCTAATCGCACGCAATAGTTTCCTAATCGTAGTTTTTTAATCGCGCGCAGTAGGTTCTAAATCGCGCGGAATAGTTTCCTAATCGTAGTTTCTAAATCGCGTATAGTTTCCTAATCGTGCAATGTCCAAGGTGTCAAAAGTTGACATGGTCGCTGTACAAGTGACTCAGCGCGGTCGCTGATAATGAGGTCCTACAAGGACATGGCTTTGACTGTGAACTTCAGCGTCGAGCGACTGGATGATCCGCAGGAAGAAGTGGCGAGAGCCACTTTATTGCGAGAAAAGGCCACCACCAATTATGAGGCGCTTGCCCTCAGCACATATGGCCGTATCTTGGAGATTGTCTTCTTCCGGACGATCAAGGACCCAGGCAACACGAAGACCACTGCGGAACTTCTGCGGTTGTGGAACAATGATATCCAGATGTCTAGCAGCGGTCTTCAGAAGAGTTTGTGGGGCCAGTGCTGAAGCTACAGACAAAGCTGTTGCCGCGCACTTCCACAAAGACCCAAAATCGAACTGGTTGAGGAGACCATGGGCAAGTCAAGCCCGTTTCAAACGATGGCTTCATTCAACCGGCTCATGAAGGCCAGGAAGGGAAGCCAGGCCTCTGCAGACTGGGTTTTGGACGCGGTGCTGGATGGCATTCAATGTTGTTTCTACGAGATCAGTGACTTGAAAAGCTCCGCCTTTTATGGGAAGGGGTCCAGCAAAAGCCCGGATGGACGTGCTGATCTTCAAGCAAGCGCTGCTAGACTGCTTGCGCCAGGCTGGCAGGCGTAGACCTCGCCAAGTTCAAGGAAATTGCAGTGTCGCATGAAGTTTATCGCAATCCCTGCGCAGGAGAGAAAATCCGCAAGGATCTTTCCTGGCAAGGGGCAAGAGCCGAATCCGTCTGTACAACGGCAAACTTCATCTTGCTCATATTTTGGGCCGCCAACGAGAAATCCAACAAAAAGGAAGAGGTGCAAACGAGAATAACAAATATCTTTCGCGCCTTTCTTCCTTGAACTTTCCCGCAACATAACAAGAGGGGCTTCACAATAAACAACCTTGAAGTAGAATGCAAAAGACCAACACAAACTTAAGACTGCAACTTCGTCACGACAAAGATATGCGACACAGTGCCCAACACCAACTTTGAGAAACATATCTCAAGAGCCGTGGCCACGCTTTTTCCCCTGCTAGCAGACGAGTTTTGCAAATGTCTTTTTGCGTTTTGATTGAGGCAATTGGATTTAAAAATGACACAGACCTGTTGATGGTTGATGGCCGAACCAGCCACCATCCAATAAATCCGACACAGACCTTGGCTGAAACAGCCACAGTTGGAATGCCAAGCCGACTTCAGCTTTGGCAAAGTCATCTTTGGCCCCTCTTTCTTAATATGCAACATGGGCGGCCCAAGAGATCCCCACTTGCTGCATTTCAACTTGCGGTCCTTCTGAAACAGCTTTTCGAGCCCCAAAGTTCCAACTACCCGTATTTGGACTAAGCGCAGATCTCTTTCAGCTTGCTTGATTTAAAGGGTCCTTAGCACTACAGAGTGCACAGCTGGCTGATTCTGAGTCAGCGTTCTTGAGCTGAAACAGCTGCAGAAGGAAACGCATTGAAATTGATATGTGTGAGCTTTTTTTAATCTTCGTTGCACCTAATCAGTTGCTGTTTGCTGAACTGGGTCTACAGGGTGTCTGCAGCTGCCGCAACACATGTTTATCCACTTTTCCACATATCCGACTTGAAGACAGCACCCCGACTTGAAGACAGCACCCCGCCGCAGTCGATGTGGCTAAGATCCAGCCCTTTCCAGCTGATCTGACTTTGGTCGAGGCTGCGGTGGCATACTTGTGGCCCAGCCACCAAAAGCCGAAGCAGCTAAGTGGCCGAAGCAGCTACACCTACAGTAGACGGCGTGGCCAGTTTTCAGCCACAAGCTTTCGTGAAGTGCTTGAGCCGAGGCTCCTGAAGCGACGCGGATCTCAGACATGCTCCTAAGGAGAGGACAGTTCGTCCTGTCCTTCGGAGGTTCAAGGACGACCCCGAGGCTCCTAGGGAGAGGACAACAATGGGACAAAGGCCTTTGAAAAACTCATATTTGACAGTATTTCAGTTTCGTCCCCTTGTCGTCCTCCCCTTAGGAGGTTCAAGGACAATCCCGAAGCTCCTAAGGAGAGGACATTCCCACCCGTTGATTCGAGGTCCGTTGAAATTTTTTGATGCTCCTAAGGAGAGGACAAAAACACATATTAAGTAGCCAAGCCTGTCTCCAAATCAAAGCTTTCGTTGAATCTCCCAATATTGTGGGTAATCATCTCTTAGATTCAACCCATTGATAGATTCCATGTAGCGACCAGAAACCCAAAGTCTTTACCCTGACGCTTCAACCCACCCCAGCCAATTCCTATTTTTGCGAAAAGTCCATCACGACCTGCTATGTACAAAAACTGACTAAGTAAGTAACGCAGCCTCAAAGTGAGAAGTCGGATTAGCATCAAAACAAGCCAAAGCAGCTTTGACAGCCGGAAGCAGCTTGCCTGATGCTGCAAAGGCTTGGCTGAAACAGCTACCGCTGTGGCCGAAGCAGCCTCACTCGAGGTCAAAATTTGAAAATACTGAAGCCAATGTCTGACTGCCCCAGAGCCCGTGATGCTTTTGGAAGCTTTTTTGTTGCATTTGAATGGGCTTTGTGATTTCGTTGTTTGCTCAGACGCTTGTCAATCCGCTTTGGCTAGAACCGTGCAGTCAACACCCCATGGCGTGCGCAACCCAGTTCCCAGCTCTGGGTGATGACATGAAATACGGAACTGTGAGCCCCATTTCAATCCCAAGACAAGCGACTTGGATCGAAGCCATCTGCAATTGCAAAAGCAGCAATGCTGCTGTCGTGTTTGACAGCTACTGACCCAAATTGCAAACGAGAAATAAAAATGAACCAGCAATAATTTCAAATACCTCTTCAGCTGCCTCGACGAGAAAAATTGAAAGAGCCAATGGAAAGTAAAAAAAATGTACGAATATGTGTGAATTTTGATAAGGACAGGACAAGGGAAACAAACAACATGTTCCGTACATGTCTTAGATGTCACAAGTTAGGGTTGCAAAGGGTATTCCAAATCAGTCATTGTTGAAGCAAACGAGATTCTCAAATAGCTTAGCCTCAAAAAAAAATACCAAAAAATATCTCAGGCCACCCCCCAAAAAATACAAAATACAGCTAAATATCAGCAAGTCATTGCAAAAGTGATCTTCGATACGGAAATGGATTCAACATCCGCCATTTCTTGAAGTCTTCCTCGCAGCCTCAGGCAGTTTCCGAGAATAGCCCCTTGAAGGAAATTCTGGAAGCAATGTCGGACTCTTTGTCCACAGTCAGCCGTGCAGGAAAAGCCTGCCGGAGACAATGCTGCATCGGCTGCTTCGGCAGAGGCTCCAGGGTGCCCACTGGAAGGAATTGACATTGATGCCGAGATACTTTCAAAGCGGCAGGCCTGGGCTCAGACATCTTGCAGGGAACACGTGCACCGGTATGTTCGGCTGATCCCTGAACCTGCCACTCAGGGTTTGCTGGCAGAAATGTTCGAGTCGACTGTGATAGCAGAGGCTCCGACAGAGGGGCGGACCATGATGATCTATGACACGAAGACGGCTGGCGAAGCTTCTGCTCAGCCCTGGGTTCCAAGGCCAGGCTGCAGAAGATCAATCTCGATTGATACCATATTGCTCTGGCCATCTCGAATTCTGGAAACACCGATCTATTGCCCTGATGATTTAGAATGTTTTGTTACTATGTGATTCATTTCCGGCGCCTTGTTGCTCGCCCACGAGCCAGAAAGAGACTGCTTCATCTTGGTCTTTGACGGAAGAAGGGAAGGTCTTACGCAATCCGTGCTGGCACCTTGCCTGACCCCTCAGGGAGAGAGGCTGGAAACCAAGATGTCACTGCAGTTTTAGATAAATATTATTCGCTGTGAAGGTGCGATCAAGCAATTGGTCCTTAGATATTTAATACAGTATCAGATTTCGGGGTTTACTGCGACCCGCGCTGTGAAAAGTGCAATGAAACAACTGGTCCTTATGCATTTGATACAGTATCAGATAACAGAGGCTACTGTGACCTGCACTGAGGGAGTGCAATCAAACAATTGGTCCTTATGCATTTAATACAGTATCACATTTCGGAAATCGGTAACGTGCGCTGAGACAGTGCAATCAAACAAGTGGTCCTATTGCATTTAATACAGCATCAGATTTCAGAGGTTACTGAGAAAGTGCAATCAAACAATTGGTCCTGTTGCAATTAGTACAGCTCAGATTTCCGAGGCTACTGAGAGAGGGCAACCAAACAACATAAACAAACAATCCGTTTTGTTTAAACTGAACTCGATTTCCGGTGAATATTCAACTGACACGCGCTCAGATAATGCAATCAAACAATTATAATTATACCCTGTTCATTATTGTTCCTCATTTTCCTCTTTGTTTTCCCGTGCTGAGAGAGCGCGATCAAACAAACATATTTTTCATTTTTCCTTACTGTTCACTTGACATGGGCCCCTGCGCTGAGAAGTTGCAATCAGTCCAATTGTTTCTTAGTGCCCATGCACAGATTTGAATGGGTTAGGCTTGGAAACAGTGCTGTGAAAGTGCAAAAATCTTTTGCTGGGTACGAACCCCCTAATCCAAAAAGAAATAAGCAAGCAGTTCCCCACCCTGGCGGGGTCTCAGGTCTCTGGGTGAACCTCAGTAGTTCAAGCCTCGGTCGCTGTCTGCAATGCATTCGTTGTGCGCTGTAAAAGTGCCTTGTTTTGACATTGTATCGGATCTGGCTGCTTGTGCACGCTGCTATCAATACTTGGTGGTGCATTGTATAATTCGAGATTGCGCAACTTTTCCACTTGCTTGAGACTACTTTTTCCACACTTAAAAAAAATATCAGGTTAAAAGCACTGAGAAGTTCACGCTATATTTTAATCAGAATCTATAGTCACATAAAAACTGACATGTCAAAAGGCACTCTTAGCTAACCACCGCACCGAGCAAAGCTGTCCCTGAGAAGAGTCGCCAATCTTTGTTTTGCTGGTGTACTTCCGTCCGCTGCATGAAATAGCACCGTACCAAGCTGTGACAAACGTCCATGCATTCAAGCAAAACAATTCTTTTTTTCTCCTCGTGCTGTGTGGCTGGCCGTCGTTCCCGCGGCCTCAGTTTGGTGAGACTTTCAGCGAACTTTCCGCTTCTTGGCCTTCATGCATGTCCAGTCATAGGCTTGAGCTACAAGCTTTCGAAAGGGTTTGTTCTTCTTCGCCATTTGACTGGCCTGCGTCTCAATGAAACTTCCATCGGCTGCCCACGTCTTCTTGCCAACTAGCTGGGCATAAAACATGCCGACATCGTCCCCCACTCCTGCAGCTTTTAGAGTGTTCACCATTGTGTGTCGACACGAATGCGGGCGTATTTGCCGATCTGCGGGTTCTGCAAATGATCGCCGCAATCTGGAGGTAGACTTACACACTGTATCTTTGTTTCGACAAGTTATGGTGCAGCCCGCGCGATTGCAAGGGAAGAGTGGCCCTAGGCCACTCTCATCTGTCCCAGAAAGCTACCCTGCCACGGGATCCACAGTTCTGAACACGTTTCTTTTTGACCCCTTGCTTCTTCAACTTCAGGAGCAAAGTCTTCACTTCTGGCATCAAGGGTTTCCGCACTCCTGCTTGACGCTTCAGCGGAGCGATGTAAACTGATTGTGGTCGAAATTAAAGATCTTCTGCTTGTAGCCACAGGCTTTCGGCGATGCGTAGGCATAACAAATGGCTGAGCATCAGCGCCGCGTACAGCCAGCAGGTACCTTGCCACAGGACATGCTCAAGCCATTGTAGCCACAGTTTGCCTGGCAAAGTAGCAGCTTGTCCCAGGTTTCTTCCTGCTTTTTTCCCTCATTGGTTTTGGTCCTCTTTTCATCGATTTCATTGTGCACAAAGTCAATGGCCTATGGCGACAGGCTATGTGTTTCAATGATTCGCACAAGATTGAGCTTGATAGTGCGATACATAAATCATTTTGAATCGGTGTGGTGGTTTGAAATCTATTTCCTCACGTCAAGCAGTCTGATCAAACTGGTTTTCTCAACCGTTTATTTTATGTGATGATTGTTTTCCTGCAATATAATCTTTTTGGGTAGTTGAAGCCATCCATATGTTCTTTTTTAAGATCCAACACAGTGAAACTTGGGCCCATTGCTGTTACAGAAATTCAGATAAATTCAATGTTGCAAAACGTGAAAAAAGGCTAGTGTTTCCCGGGCAGGCCGCCTTCCCCAGCAAAAGGCGGATTCCCCCAGCAGAATGCCAGAAGCCAATCGAAAGCAGCCCCTCCCTCCCAGCATCATTGATAGTGCCCCAACATTAGCATCCTGTGCTGTGAAACTGTTGGATTCCTGTGCTGTGATGCTGATGCTGACACTTTTACAGCGTCGACAGGAAGTAAAACAGATATGCAAACAGTCTTGCGGCACTTTTATAGCGTCAAAAATTCGTTCTTTTTCCTTCCTTGGGCGGAGCGCGGCTCAGATGGCGGCAGCGGGCTTCTTCATCATCGTCTTCTTGGTTGTCTCCTTCCACTTGGCCCTGGCCTTTGCCTCCAAAGCTCGGACTTTTGCTTCTTGTCCTTCTTATCCTTGGGCTTGGGTTTGTCCGTCTTGACCTTCTCGTCCTTGGGCCCTTCTGGCAATGCCTCGTTCACAGTGACGGTGTAGGGGTCGAACCAGTGCTCCGTCACCTCGCAGAGCTGCCTAGGTGGTTTGAAGAGGAAACATCAAACGAGATAGATAACACGTTCAACCCACCCAGACTCCAGAAAACTTTCATCCATCAAAGCACATGTCCAGAGTAATAGCCTCCAGTGACCATGGCCCGTCATTGGTGGACCACTTCCTAACCATCCTACGAGAAGTCATGGCGAGACACTTCACGCTGCGCTGCACGCAAGGGCTTACCGTGCCGTGCGGCTTTGACATGGCTGCAAAACACACTCCCACACTGCAGAATGAGAACAAAAAAAGCGACAACATTATTACAGCGTCCATTCATCCACCCCGATTGATCGCATGTATCATCTTTTTTTACAGCAACCAACAACAAGTTCATTTCAGGGCCAGGCACCGCACAACAGCTCATACCTCAAACACACATGGCTCATCACATTACATGAAGACCGAAGATGAAGCACCCTAAAACACATGTGACACACTTTGTAAGCTGCTTACAGCTTGAAAGAGCGCCGAAGGATGCGCAAGAATATAAATTCCCGAAAATGTATATATGTTCTAGACTCAGCAACAATGTTGGCGTGTAGTGTTTGCTGATTATTAGTGTACACCCTGTCAAACAAAACACTGAGGCATGGCTACGGCTGCGAACCTTATTTGTTGTTCAATCCTAAGTGAGCTTTCAGCAGGGTCCGGCGCTGTAAGAGTGTCGGTTTTCTTTGGTTGCACCAATCTTTGTTTGGTTCCAGCACAGCATGGCCATTGGTGACATGCTTTGGTAGCCAGTCAGCGTCAGAGAAGCGACAACAGAACGCTGCCGGAAACAGATATAAACAAGATAGACTGACACAGACATGCACAAATTGTTTCTGACACTATCTTACTAACCCGTGCTGCCCAAGGCGTGCCATGACAAAATAGATTGATAATTAGATTGGTCATACATTTTCATGCATTCACAAACTGTTGCTAACACTTTCTTTGTCTTTTGAAATAAACAAACTTCCCCAGCCATGCAACTGAATTCGAAGCCAAAATGGGCAGCGCGGCCACCAATTTCAATGTGCTTTAAGAAGAGCATGGCAAGCCGCCAGCACGACGAGGAGTGTCAAGACACGCATCGAGAAGAAGACTGGCGCCAAGAGTGGGAAGACACGCATGGACAAGAATACGTAGGGCACCAGGAGTGGCCGACAAACCTATCAGCAAACAAATGGGAGATAAAAGCGGGAACAAAGCAAGCAGAGACAAGTGGGAGACAAGTCGGAGGGCAAGCGGGGGCAAGTGCGAAATCATGCAGCCAAAGGCAACCGCAACGTAATGGGAAACAATCAGTTGGGGCAAGTGCGCAATCATGCGGCCCAAGGCGCCAGCAGCGAATGCATGGGACCAATCAGAGACAAGAAGGAGACAAGTGGGAGACAAGTGTGAGATCCAGTGGAAACAAGTTTGAAACAAGCGCAAAAACATGGGCCCAAAGTGACCGCAGCGTATTGGAAACAAGTTGGCGACCATTGGCGTGGGAAACAAGAAGACAAGAAGTGGGAGACAAGTGGGACAACAAGCAAGAGACAAGTGGAAGAAGTGCAAATCATGCAGGCAGAAGTGCTCCCAGCGTATGGGAAGCAAACATACACCCAGGAACGCAAGCCCGGAGACGCAAGCAAAATAATGGGCCCAGGCATGCGACCGTTAAAAGGGTGTAAGAACCTCATATCGTTGCAGGTAACTAAAGAACCTCGTGACTCATACCGCTGCAGGTAAACTAAATTTGGGCAGCAAGCGCAAAAAATAACAAGGAGCGGTAGAAAAGCGTGCAGGTAAAAGAAGCGGAAAGCAAACGGAGAAAAGCGAGAAACCAAAAGCGTTCGTGGGAGTGCTCCCCTGCAAGGAAAAGCATTAAACAAGCGAATTTCTCAGCTTTCCGCCCACACCCGGTGCGCAACTTCATCCCATGCGAAGCGCCGGGCAATGGCCAATGCCTCAAAATATCAGGCATGCAGCGGAGCGACTGGCAGCAAAGTCAAGT